ATTATATGTGAGAAATAATTAGGCAGACATAATTTGACTTATTATAATTATGTGAGAAATAATTAGGCAGACATAATTTGACTTATTTTGTGTGAAAAATAATTCGATAGACATAATGTGACTTATGTTGCGTGAGAAATAATTAGACAGACATAATTAGTCTTATATTGTTTGAGAAATAATTCAACATACATATAAATTGACTTATTTTGTTTGAGAAATATTTCGACAGCCATAATTTGACTTTTAAAATGTGTTTTTTGTAAAAGTTCAGTCGAACAGATCAGCGGATGACGTCACCAAACGTTTTCATGTCCTCACAAGCAAATTAATTATGCTACCATGGCAACCGATGAAATCAAAGTCCGCTTAAGCTAAATTATTTGTCCTGTTTTAATTAATGTATTTATTATTTATTTATAAAATCAAGAGTACGAACAGAATTGTTACACGATTAACGAGAAATTAAGAAGCTCAGGCATTCTTTCTTTTTAAAAAAAAAATAAATCATTGTTTTAAACACAGGCCAGGAAACAAATAGATTTGAATACTGAATAAACTAGTTCGACTGCTCCACTCTGTCTTCATTTTGTGTGGAAAACCTTCGGCCCGTGGGCCACATGCGACCCGCTGAAACCTTTAATCCGTCTGGCAAGACCTTCCGGGAACTGGATTGCTTACATAAAACTGCACACATTGTTAATGATTATCTTTAAAAGCCATGAAAATATAGACTATTACTGTATGCAATATAAACAGGTCCATATTTATCAGAAATTATCTGTTATATATCATGTTACCTGAATTATTTCAAATTCATATCAATTTTTTTCAATATATTGGATGCAACAATAGATTTCTTGAAAATTGTCACATGGTCCACTAATATATATATATATATATATATATATATATATATATATATATATATATATAATATATATAAAAGAATTGCCAAAGGGAAGTCTGAACACAAAAAAAATGTTTCGAACTATAGTCTGCTGTCTGCACCATTCTAGTTTGGCCATGATAATATTGGGATTACAATTAATCTTTTTATTTTATTTTTAAATTGGGGTCCAAATTAATATTTTGAATGACAAGGGTTTCACAACGGGAAAGAATTCATAAAATCATAGTCTAACATAACTCCTTTTTAGTATGACTGGTGATTATTTTTATTTTTTTAATTTGCCGGAAAATGTGGAAATCTGAAAATGGCCACGTCGATTAATTTGCTTGGCTACGATTAACTCCGACATTTCACGGACACGATTTCCGCTTGTTTACTTTGTTGAGCACTGTGGCCTCCATGGAGTGAGTAATTATACCCCTTCAAGGTCAAATCTATTTTAACTCTGGGCATGTGGGGGTAATTAGTCCTAACGCTGGTTTTTGTGGAGTATCAGGTGCACCTTGGTTAGCCAGATTCTCATACTGTGAATGTATGACACAACACTGATCAACAACAGTGATTGTTTCAGAAATTTTCAGATTTTTCGGGGGGGGGGGGGTTGGGGGTGGCAGTGCCAGCAGTTCCAGTTGATTTTTTTTTTGGACATATTTTTGCTCCGGGGGTGGGGGCACTTGGCTTTCCCCAGGGGGGGGGCAGTGC